CAGTTTTTAACTCACAGAATCTTTCACTATTGTATCTCAAGGCTTGAATTTTTTTATTTATTCTTTCAATTTGAAAAATGTCTAACATATTTAAAAATGTTTTGCTTTTCTCACCCCAGGTATTTTGCACATATCATTATAAAACTTTGCTTTGCCTTCCAGAGTCACTCTGAAATCATCTGTCAGCCTTTTATGTCACTATTTCTTCTCATCACTTGGCTACTCTACCTTCAAAAGCAAGTTTTAGAGTCTTTTCTGACATCCAGGTTTGTTTATTTCACTTTTCTTTTTTTCTCCCCTTTTAATTATCTTTTGCTTTTTGGTGTATGATGTTCTTGATCTCAAACTGCGACTTTACTTGCAATTTGTGTTCTGTGCATCAGATTATTCTTGAGATGGTTCCTAATTTCATAGGACATAAATTCAAGGTCATATTTTGGCCATTGTGGGTTTGTGTTCATTTTCTTCAACTTCAATTTGAATTTGCATAGAAGCAGTTGAGGACCTGTTCCATAGCCAGCCTCTGGTTTTTTTCTGACTGATGATTTGAGCCACAGACACTTGATTTTAGTCCTATGGACTACATTCAGCAAAATTTGAATTGTCATCATTTTTACTGTTGGAAAAATGTATTTCTGATGACTAAATCATTGATCAGTTTAGCAAAATTCCATCATGTGATCTTCAGTGTAATTTCTATCACCAAGGCTATATTATTAAAATACTTATTCTTTTGTTTCCAGCTTTTTCATTCTACTCCTCAAGAATCATCAATGTGTCTTGATTGAAAATGTGATTAATTTTAGACTGATGATGTTTGTAAAAAAATCTTCAGTGTTTTTTCATCTTTGGCTTTAATGGTTTATGAGTAAATGTGAATACTGTTGCTGTTGTCATGTGCCATAGAGTCACCTGTGACTCATAGCAACCCTATGTACAAAGTTCTAACGCCTGCCCTGTCTTGAGCCAGTCTCACTGACTCCAACACACCAACACCCATTGCCCTAGTTAATGTATCAATCCATCTCATCTGTGGTCTTCCTCTCCTGCACTGTCCTTTCACCCTTCCAAGCATGATGTCTTTCTCTAAGGACTGGTTTCTCCTGGCCACACACACAAAATATGTGAGACTAGACATATAAATTTGAGTACTAGTCGGAGAACTCAGATGGCCTAATAGGTAAGAAGTTGCACTGCCAAACCAAAGGCAGACATTTCAAATCCACTAGCTGTTCCATAAGAGAAAGATGAGCAATCTCCTCCAGTGCGATTTACAATCTCTGAAAGCTTGCTTAGGGGGTCAGCTGAGTCATACCAACTCAACAGCATACAGGACCAACATATAAACTGGACCTCATTATATTCTATTAATGTTAGAATTTTACTTTAGGATAAATTTCATCATTTTTTTCTTACAAGTTCAATTATTGTTCCATTTCAATTTGTTATTCTTGGCACAATAGACTCTATGATTATACTATTCAGAATGGTAAATACCAGTTCATTTCAGCTTTCTAACGCCTAGAATCTTATTGTTGTTAAGTGCTGTCAAGTCGTAGATGAGTCATAGAGACCCTATGAATTAAAGAGACCTGAACACTTGTTTAACTTTCATTTTTTCTCTAAGTTTGTATAGTTTCTGGAGGCAAGCTATCTCGGAAGTGGATGCCACTCCTTCTTCCAAGCCTGTCTTAATCTGGGAGCTCCACCAAACACTATCTACTACAGGTAACCATTATCTCATTTGACACAATCTGTGTCACAGTGTTTAGCATCACAGAAACTACGAGTTACCCCTGTACAGCAAATGGACAGACTAGTGCTGTACCACTTAGAAGAATGTTTGACCAAAAGCAATTGAAACCAGGCCTGAGGGCCGCAAATTAAAATCACCCACCTTTGGCTTAGTAGTATAATTTTCTATATACTAGGCCAACAGAACTCTATGACTCACAGCAATTCTAACCCTTGCCCTATCCTATGCCATCCTCACAATCTGAGACGTACTTGAGCCCAATGTTATAGTCACCATATCAATCCATCATGTTGAGTATCTTCTTGTCTTCTGTGACCTTCTACTTCTCTCAGCATGATGTCATTTCCTGAGGACTGGAACCGTAACTGTTGTTAAGTGCTGTCAAGTTGAAGACTACACATAGAGAACCTATGATCGAAAGACTTGAACACTTGTATAACTTTCATCATTTCTCCATTTCATAGGGTTTCCGGAGCCAAGCTATTTCGGAAGTGGATGCCACTCCTGCTTCCAAGCTTGTTTTAATTGGGAAGCTCCACCAAACACTGTCCACCATAGGTAAGCATTGTCATATTTGACACATTTGACACAGTGTTTAGCCTAGAATATCAATATTTAAGTGTCCAAATACATTTTTATGACTTCCAATATTTCTTTATTTATATTTGACATGTTACAAATTCTGATTACTAATTAATGTTTGTAGCTGTTGCATTGTTCTTTGAGTTGTATCAAAGAAGCAAAAGAAAATTCTGAAAATCGTACTTAATCTACTTTGTTGTTATTGTTGTTATGTGCCATTGAGTTACTTGCCACTCATAGTGACCTTATGTACAAGAGCCCTAAAGCCTGCTCTATCCTGTGCCAACTTTATTGTCTCTGACACACCTACTCACATTACCCCAGTCACTAAATCAATACATCTCATTGAGGGTCTTCCTCTCCTGGACTGTCCCTCCACTCTTCCAAACATGGCATATCTCTCCAAGGACTAGTCCCTCCTTGCAACATTTCCAAAGTATGTCAGACGAAGCTTCAGAATCTTTGCCTACAAGGAACAACCCAGTTTCACCCTCTCCAGGACAAACCTGTTTGTTCTCCTAGCAGTCCATGTTATATTTAATACTATTCTCCAGCACCACAGCTCAAAGGCATCAATTCTCCTTCCCTAGTCATTGTCCAGCTCTCTGACACATAGCACACAATTGTGAAGACTGTGGCAAGGTTGATTTTACTTAAAGGGCCATATTTGTCAACCTAAGAAACAGATTCTCTGGCACCTCATGAGACCGTATTACACACTATCTGTAAGGCTTCTAATGGCTAATTCCCCACTCCCACCTCCACCCCACCCGTGACAGAAGGGAAGGAGATACACTGCCAGACTGTTTTCCTAGTTTCTTAGTCTGAACTGTGATGGTACAAATAATCAATGTGCTATGCTTGTGTTGTTATTGTTGTTGTTGTTGTTATGTGCCGTCAAGTCGCTTGCGACTCAGAGCGACCCTATGTACAACAGCCCTAAACTCTGCTCTGTCCTGTGCCAATCACACTGTCTCGGACACTCCCATTCTGATTATCCCAGTCACTGAATCAATCCACCTCATAGAGGGCTTCCCCTCCTGTGCCATCCCTCCACCCTCCCAAGCAGGATATCCTTCTCCAAGAACCGGTCTCTCCTCACAACATGTTCAAAGTATGTTAGACGGAGCCTCAGAATCCTTGCCTCCAAGGAGCCACCCGGTTTAACCCTTTCCAGGACCAATCTGTTTGTTTTCCTAGCAGTCCAATACTCTTCTCCAGCACCACAGCTCAGAGGTATCAATTCTCCTTCTATCCTCCTTGGTCATTGTCCAACTCTCTGATGCATAACAAGTGATTGTGAAGATCATGGCCTGTATCAAAAGCACCTTAGTCTCCAGAGAGACACCATTGAATCCCAGAACACTTGATTGTGCTAACGCGAAACCTATACTTGGACCAGGAGGCAGTCGTCAGAACAGAGCAAGGGAACAATGCATGGTTCAAAATTGGGAGGGGCATACGCCAGAGATGCATCCTATCTCCATACCTTTTCAACCTATATACAGAACAGATTATCCGGGAGGCTGGGCTCTATGAGGAGAAATGTGGGGTCAAGATTGTTGGACGATTTATCAACAATCTGCGTTAAGCAGATGACACAACCCTGCTTACTGAAACTGAAGAGGACCTGAAGCACCTGCTGCAGAGGGTCAAGGACTGCAGCCTACAATACGGATTGAGACTCAATGTCAAGAAGACAAAGATTCTCACCACTGGACCAATTGGCAGCATCAGGATGGATGGTGAAGAGATTGAGATTGTACACAGCTTTAGTTTGCTTGGCTCCACAGTCAACACTCTTGGCACCAGTAGCCAGGAAATTAAAAGGCGCATTACCATGGGAAAGTCTGCTGTTAGGTACCTCTCCAAAGTACTGAAGAGCAATGGTGTCTTTCTGGAGACCAAGGTGTGCTATGCTACTAACTCAAAATTTGAAGATTTTAGTCTATCCAGAGGTGCCTTGGGAGAAATGCCTTCTAAAAATCAGGCACTGCTCTTCTATGACACCCACAAAGTTGCCATGTGTCATAGTGGACTCCAGAGTAAAGGTTCCATCAGGCCCCCGTCTTAGAGTGGACTCAAGTTCTAAACCATGTACTGTTCTGTCTAAAACAGCCACAGTAGGCATACACTAAGAGACCAATGAATTTTTCATAGTTTTAAAAACTTTTGGCCTAGTGATTAAATCTTGTCAAGAACTTGGCTGCTTTCATTAATGATTGGATGGGATATAAAGTATTAGAGAATAGTATTGAATATACCATGGACTACTAAGAGAACTAAAAGGTTTGTCCTGGAGAGGATGAAGTCAGGCTGCTCTTTGGAGGCAAGCATTCTGAAGCTTGTCTGACATTCTTTGGACATGTTGCAAGGAAGGACGAGTCCTTGGAGAGGGACGTCATGTTTGGAAGGGTGGAGGGACAGCTCAAGAGAGGAAGACTCTCAATGAAATGGGTTGATTCAGTGACTGGGGTAATGAGGGTAGCTGTTTCAGTGACAGTGAAATTGGCACAGGATAGAGCAGAATTAGGGCTATTGTACATAGGGTCGCTATGAGTTGTAGATGACTCAATGGCACATAACAGCAACAATAAACAACGAATGTCCTTAAAGGAGGAGAAAATGGTATCAAGTAGCATTGAAATGGACTTGTACTTACCAGTGTACTCTTGGGGACAGACACAAGTGTAGCTTCCTATCTCATTGAGGCACACCGCCTCATTCTTGCAGGGATCAGAAGCACATTCATCAACTTCAAAGTCACAGTGACTGCCTTGGTATCCTGGGACACAGAAGCAGGAATAGCCATTGATTCCATCCTGACACAAAGCCCCATTATGGCAAGGGCTGGAAGCACACTCATCAGGATCTATCTCACAGAAGCTCCCGGCATATCCAGCAGGGCAGATGCAGACAGGGCCAGCAGTGTCGTGATGGCAGGCACCTCCGTGTAGGCAGAAGTTTGCACCACAGGAAGCAAGGACAGTTTCACAGGTTGGCCCACTATAACCAGGAGGACATATGCACAGAAAGCCCATTTCTCCTTTGGTGGTATTCATGCAAGAGGCGTTCTGCCCACACGGATTCGGAAAGCAAGGATCTTTTAGATTGTTGGCACAGGCTTTGTCCAAGTGATTAGTGTCTGAGCAATGGCAATTGTTACCTTTTGAAAAGCCAGTGCATGTAGAATTGTTTTGGCATGAATTTGAGAGGCACCTGGTGTCATTTTTATTGCAAAAGGAATCTACAAAAGAAGCAAAAATATTAAAATTTGGGAATAAAATTATAGAACCTCATTTCCCCCCATGCAACCTCAAATAAACTCATTAATTAAATACATAACTAGTTCTATTCCAATAATGGGTTTTAACTCATCATTTGTCAAACCATTTAACACAAAAAGCAAAATTAATCACTTCCCTTCCTTTCTTTTTCTCCATATTTTTAAATTTAAAAATTGAGCAATGGGGTGAATTGAAGCAGCTGTTTAAGCATCTTATATATTTAGAATATTCTAATTCATATTTTCTGATGAAGGACCTGAAATAATTCTAGTAGAAGAGTTACTAAATTGTCTCTGTATATGTGGTCAAAATGAAAAGTGATTAAGATACTGCACTGCAATCCTGAAGGCACGTGTTTGAATTTACCAGCTGCTCCTTGGGAGAAGGATGGGCAATCTCCTCCCATGTGACTAAAGACCTCTGGAAAGCCACTAAAAGGTCAGCTGTGGGTTGGTTCCAACTCTACAGTAAAACCAACAAGAAGCTTAACACCAAGATTATTTTATCTTTTAAAAAGGAAACTAGAGAAAAGGCCAATAAAGAATTACACAATGCCTACTATTTCTCAAAAGTCTACTTTCTACACTAAAACTTGTCAGCTATTTTACCTATATCATTTTGAATCCTCAGAGAAACATTAAGTATTTTATCTCCATCTTACAGACAACAGTTTAATCTCACTGAGAAGAAATAGATAATAATGTTTGTGAATTTTTATTGCTTTGAAAGTTTCTCTGTTCTGGGGATGAATATATTATTGAGACTATATTAAGTATAACAAAATGAAAGAAAGCAATAATTCTACAATATTTTCCATATTAATCAAACATTTGCAAATTTCTCTAAGTGCTTACACTGTGATTACAACTTCATTGTTGTCTTCATCTTCCATTTTTGGGAAGCATTATATTTAGCATCTCAACAGTAACTACCTATAAAACATTGGTCTTGCATCTCAATTCATCAAGCACAAGCCTTTTTTAAAAATTTATCCTTTCTTTTGTTGCACATTTTCTTCCTCTCTCACACTCCCTTCTCCCAGCCCACCCAGCAATGAACCCCTTGTCATACATACAGTGTTTATTTTTGCTTGCTTTCTTACACTCTTACATACATATCAATGGGCAATGGTACAGACTCCTGCTCTTAAAACATGAGACACAAATGAGCAACTGTCCAACAGAAACATTATGGGAGCAGATGACTTGTAAGATTTAAGAACATGTAATGTAATGATACAATGTTCCTCTCTTTAAAAAGATGTGACAACATCTTTTGCGATGAGAAGACAGGGAAGGAAAAATGACTGACTAGGTCATCATATAGGAGTGGTGTCTTCTGTGGAGTCTATTTTCAGCCAACAATTTTTTTTCAAGTGGCTACCATCTAGAAAATAATTGTATTTTTATGCATTACTGCAAGGGCTGATCTGAAAGCACATTTTTCTATTCCCCATGGCCTAGTGAATAAGTAGCTACACTGTTGACTTTGCTACTAAAGGTAAATGGTTTGCATCTATCAGCTGTCTCTCAGAAGAAAGTTAGACACTCTCTTCCTATGGAATTTACAGCCGCTGCAAACCCACTTAAAGGTCATCTATGGATCATTTGCAACTCAGTGACAGCTTATCACGTACATTGTGTACTTTAGACAAGTTGCATGGCGGGAGGGTCAATGAAAGGAAGAATGATATGGACTGACACAGTCACTGCAGCAATGGCTCAAGCATGGTAATTGGTAGGATGACACAGAATCAGGCAGGTTCTTATGAATCTTATGAATCTGAACTGACTTTATGCTACTTATCAATTTCGTCTTACATAGATTCACAAACAACACCCTTGAAGTTAGCAGCCAAGAAACCAAAATATGGATTGCATTGGGAAGTTTGTTTTCAAGGACCTTTCTAAAGTACTAAGGAGTAATATTGTCAGTTTAAAGACCTAGGTGTGCCTTATTCAAGCTATCTGTTTTTATAACTTACTGAGAATTAGCCAGTGAACAAGAATGACAAAATTTATGCCTTTGAGATATGGTGCTTGAGAAAAAATACTAAACATTCCATTGACTACCAAAAGAACGAACAAGTATGTTTTGGAGATAGTAAAACCAGAGTGCTCCTAGGAGGCAAAGATGGTGAAATTTTGTCTCACATATTTTGAGCATGTTGTTAGAAGGGATCATTCCTTGGAAAGGTACATCCTGCTTGGAAAGGAGGGTCTTCAAAAAAGAGGAAGAGACATTGACACAATGCCAAAAGTAATGGGCTCAGGTATGTCAGAGAAGATAAAGATAGCACAGGATAGGATCAAGTTCAGATCCATTGTTTGTAGGTTTACCATGAGTTATACTTGACTTGACAGCACCTCACAATAATAACATGGGAAAGCAATTTGCCCTTTTACTTTAGATCATTTTTACTTATAAAACGCCACATTTTAGTGATTGTTGCTATTGTTTCTTGTTATATGTCATTGAGTTGCCTGTGACTCAAAGTGACCCTGAGTACAATAGCTTGAATCTTGCCTTCTCTAGAGCCAATCTTATTGTCTTTGACATAATGACTCTTATTATCCCAGTCACTGAGTTAATCCATCTCATCCGAGGTCTTCCTCTCCTGCTCTGTACCTCCAAGTACGATGCCCTTCTTCAAGGACTGGTCCCTTCCAGCAACGTGCCCAAAGTATGTGAAATGGAATTTCAAAATCCTTGTTTCCAAGGAGCAGCTTAGTTTTACCCTCTCCAGGACTGGCAATCCATGGTATGCTCAGTACTCTTCTCCTTCACCACAATTCAAAGGCATCAATTTCTCTTTTATCATCTTCAGTCACTGTCCAGCATTTTGATGCATAGCAAGTAATTGCGAAGAGCTTGGCTTGGATCAGGTGCACCTTACTTCCCAGATAATAGCATTTCTTTTCAGTACTCTGGAGAGGTCTCTGACAGCAGATTTTCCCAAGGCAATTCATCTTTGATTTCTTGACTGCTGGTGTCAAGAGTGTTAGTCAATAGATATTTATTGAACACTTACTTAGAATATGTTAAGAGCTGGGAAGCAAAGGAAAACAAAATATTTACTTTCAGAGTTTGAGTCCAGAGTAGAAGCCTGAAAGATAAGGTGGCAGACATTTATAGAAATGTCGTTGTGTGTTGTTGAGTTAATTCCTGCTCATTGTAACTCTAAATTATAAAGAACTGCCCCATAGAATTTCCTAGACTGTAATATTTATAAGAGCCACTTGCAAGTTCTTTTTTTTTCCTATGGAGCTGCTGGGTAATTTTAACCTCCAACCTTTGATTAGCAACTGTGGGCTTAATCATTAGGTCTCCAGAGTTTTATGGAAATACTGGTAGAAAATAACAACACAATTATAATAAAGTCTGACTTCATTCTAATGTATTCTTTATTATTGTGTACTGTGGAGTCAGCGCTAACTCATAGCTGACCCTTAGGTGGATTTTCAGAGAAAATAAATAGCATTGGAGGAGATTTCTCATCTTTCTCAAATGGAACAGCTGATTAATTTGAACCATGTGCCTTCAGGTAGACAGCACAACTCCTTAGGCCCCCAGAACTTCCTATTGTATTAGTTGCTGTTGTTGTTATGTGCCGTCGAGCCACTTGCAACTCATAGTGACCCTATGTACAACAGCCCTAAACTCTGCTCTGTTCTGTGCCAATCGCACTGTCTCTGACACTCCCCCCCATAGAGGGCCTTCCCTTCCTGCGCTGTCCCTCCACCCTCCCAAGCATGATGTCACTCTCCAAGGACTGGTCTCTCCTCACAACATGTCCAAAGTATGTTAGATGGAGCCACCCGGTTTAACCCTTTCCAGGACAAATCTGTTTGTCTTCCTACCAGTGCATGGTATTCTCAATACTCTTCTCCAGCACCACAGCTCAAAGGCATCAATTCTCCTTCTATCCTCCCTAGTCATTGTCCAACTCTGATGCATAACAAGTGATTGCAAAGACCATGACCTGTATCAGATGCACCTTAGTCTCCAGAGAGACACCATTGCTCTTCAGTACTCTGGAGAGGTCCGTATCAGCAGACGTTCCCATGGCAATGCACCTTTTAATTTCCTGGCTGCTGGTGCCAAGACTGTTGACTATGGAGCCAAGCAAACTAAAGCTGTGTACAATCTCAATCTCTTCACCATCCATCCTGATGCTGCCAATTGGTCCAGTGGTGAGAATCTTTGTCTTCTTGACATTGAGCCTCGATCCGTATTGGAGGCTGCAGTCCTTGATCTCTGCAGCAGGTGCTTCAGGTCCTCTTCAGTTTCAGCAAGCAGGGTTGTGTCATCTGCATAACACAGATTGCTGATAAATCATCCACCAATCTTGACCCCACATTTCTCCTCATAGAGCCCAGCCTCCCGGATAATCTGTTCTGCATATAGGTTGAAAAGGTATGGAGATAGGATGCATCCCTGGCGTACGCCCTTCCCAATTTTGAACCACGCAGTGTTCCCTTGCTCTGTTCTGACGACTGCCTCCTGGTCCAAGTATAGGTTTCACATTAGAACAATCAAGTGTTCTGTGATTCCTATTCTGCTCAGAGTCAGCCATAGTTTGTTATGATCCACACAGTCAAATGCCTTTGCATAGTCAATGAAACACAGATAGACATTCCTCTGGTATTGCCTGCTTTCAGGTAAGATCCATCTAACATCAGCTACAATATCTCTAGTACCACAACCCCTTCTAAACCCAGCCTGGACTTCTAGTAGTTCTCTGTTGATGTGCTGTTCCAGTCGTTTTTGGATAATCTTCAGTAAAATCTTGCTTGCATGTGAAATCAGTGAGATTGTTCTGTAGTTTCCACATTCTGTTGGGTCACCTTTCTTTGGGATAGGAACAAATATAGATCTCTTCCAGTCAGTTGGCCTAGTGGTTGTTCTCCAGATTTCTTGGCACAACTTGGTGAGCACATCCAGGGAAGCAT